CCCCTGTATACATGGTCATCAGCTTGGCTGGCCGGTTTGGTTTGAGCGCTGGAGGGCTGGCTCGCCGCGCCTGCGACTGGCAGGGCCGCGCCGCGGGCGGCCAGCGGTGGAGTCATGGCTTGCGTGGTGGCTAAGCGCATCCGCCGCCGCCCGCCCACGTCCTTTGGCGGGGGTTTCCTGCGCGGGCGACACCAGCCTACCTACAAGCCGGCGCATTGCATGCTGCTTTTGCACCTTTTGGACTGATTGGGTTTTAATTCCCGCCAGCTGCTGCTGCTTCGCGGCTCAGCCGACCGGGTCAAGGACAAACGGGCGCGACGCGCGTGATTTTTGTAACACCCTGCATTTCTGTACCACCCAACAGCTACTGTTTGACGTTCTCAGAGCATGGCAAGGGCCGGGCGGCGTGGAACGTGGCGGCGCGTCCCGTGGGCTGCGGTGAAAGGTGTGGTGCCGTGCGCGCGACGCACGGCCTGCATGGTCAACGCTGGTCGAACTGCGGGGCTGCGTGGGGGCCGGCGATGGCGGGACCCGTCACAACCCGCGCGGCGCGCGGCCTCCAGCGCGGCGCGTCCGGCGCTCCGCTCCCTGATGATATCGATCTAAGCAAACTCTTAAAATTTTGGGGCCGGCGGCGGAGGGGGCGCCGCGGCGGCGGTCAAGAGGGATGGGGCGCGGCGGCCGGGGGCCGGGGCGGTCTGCCGAGCCCTCAGGAGCCAGGAGGGGCCCGTGACAGGTTTGGGGTGTTCAGCAGGGCCCCGGCCGCGCGGCCCCCGGCGCCCCGCCCCGGCGGGCGGCGCGGGGAGCGGCCGTGTCATCATCCGTGCAGCAGTGACGAAAAGGGGCGAGCGATTGGGGGCAGGGACGGCGGCGCGGCGGCCCCGGGAGACGGCCGACCCACAGCCTTGCGGCGTGCGCGCGCAGCGGAGGGGGGCCCGGCCGCGGTACCCCCGCCCGCGATGCACCATGCATGGCGACGCGTAGTGCGAGGAAAGGGGTGCCCGCCGATACGATATGCAGCCCCATTCAACCAAACCATGGGCCGATTCGGACCAGGCGCCCCGCCAGAGACCAAGAAACCCAGCCGAGATCACACAGCAGATCAGATCTCGCGTCAGATCACGCGCGCGGGCCCAGATCACGCAAGCGTCCAGATCACTTGCCGCCGGTCGTCTCGGTCCAGTTGGTGCCGCTGCTGGGCGTGCCTGGGTCGCCATCCTCCTTCAGGCGCTTTGTCTCGCGCACCTGTCAAGGAGAGGAAACAAGATTGTGACATTGAGAATGAAAAAAGAATGTTTCAGAGTGAAGCGGGAGGATAAACAAGAATATCTGAGGGTGGAGATATTTCACACAATCGGAGGCGTGAATGGGCGTTGCGTCACCAGGACGGCAGCGCGGGAGGCGACGCCCCTGCTGCCGCGGTCCCCTGCCACGGCCGCAGGCCGGGTGCCGCCCCCCCCCCTCCAGCACAATTGCCCCGGTGTCCCCGACTTCTCCCCCCTGAAACCCAGCCGCTCCCTAGTGGTGTTTTCCCCCCACCTGCTGCCAGGTCTCCTGGAACTGCGCCCAAAACTTGGCGCGCTCCGCCTGCTGCGACCCCTTGCCCGACGTCATGCTGTTCACGCT